ATTGAATGGTAATTTATAATCAGTCACAAGAAGGTCGAATCTGAATCACTTGAAAAAACACGGGGGTGCTTAACTTTTTTCCAGGTGTATATATTGTAGCTACGAATAGACAAATATGGCTAGAAACTGTCCTAAGGTGAGCTGGCCCTTATTTGTAATTATATTACCATTTTATTTGTTGTTGAACACAAAGCTAAATAATGGGCTGTCTGTACTTTTCCCACCATAAGTACTGAAACCTAGTTTTTACCCATCTTGAGAGAATAATCAACTAATGAGCCTAACAATCAATTAGCAAATTCAGGGAAAAATAATTATATAATTTTATTAATACTTTTAGTTTGTGTGTTTTTTTCATTTCTGTGCTGTGGTACAATTGTATTTTATTTCTAATAAAGCAATAATACAAGTATGATTGCATAGGCTTATAGATTTTTCTATGTAGTGATAATTCCAATTATTGATATTTCTATTTTCAATTTTGTTACAAGTCTTTCACAGTTTGGTTTCAGGATTGGACTTCTTACTGTTAAATTAAATTACAAGATATACAAAATGTATTCTGTTCATTTATATTACTATTTAGTTCATTCCAACACTTGCTAAGAGAAACTTGAAAGGCACTATTTATCATTTTAGGTAATTGGTGTTGAACAAATTTGTATAGTGTTTATATTTTCCTGATGAAAGAAAAACAATTATTTTAGTTGTTTACCTGTTGAATTATAAATAGTATCATTAACGTTCCTTATTCTACTAGTACCATCTTAATAGGATAATCAAACCCATTATTAGTAGACCTGATTCTAGTCTTGTCAGTAACATCGTTAGAGAAATGATTGGAAACATATCAAATTTGCTAAGCATATGTATTAGCCAAGTCTGATATAACATGAAATAAAATGGCTAAAAAATATACACGTATTTCTAAAATTATTTCTGTTAACAAGTAGGAAACTGAGTAGTGCATAGAAAATATACCTGATATTGAGTAAACTCTCACTTCCAAGAACTTTATGGGCACATTCAGAAGAAAGTTACTTCATTTATTAAATATGATAATAAATTAATTTTCTGGAGTTTACACCTAAAGTATATCTTTGTTTTTTTTGAACTAAAATAACTCTGCACTAATTTATCCTCAAGTTTTCCACTTGAATATAAAATCATAGTATCAGAACAACTTTGTAAGAAGTCTGATATCACAAAAAAAATTACTGTTGATTTATTTTCTGCAGAAACTGTACCAGAATTTGAGAAAAAGTGGAGTGAAAAGAATCAGGGGTTTATTCAGAAAGATTTAAGAAAGGATAATTTTTCATACAACTCTATTTTCAAGAAACTTTTTGGTTTGCAGCCACGTGAATTTTAATAATTAGAGTAAACAATTCAAACTAGATTTTTCAGAGTTATCTATCTTTATAAATTCTCAGTTGTTACAACATTATGATTAAGTTAATTATTGTGTCAATTAAAAATCCCCTCTAAGATGTATGTTGAGAAAATACAATTATTTTTTTTGTAGTGTTAATATTCAAATAAAACTATTTTTGATCTAACCATGACTGAACAGATTCATTTACTTCTAATGCAGGTGTAATGAAACTTGATAAGCTTTCGAAGTATTTTCGGATTTAGGGAGCTTCAAAAGTGGCTTGGGTACTAATGTTCCTAAAAACAAGAAAACAAAATAATCATGAATTGTAATGATAATTATATTGCTTTTAACCCTTAAAATAAAGTACTAAACTATTTTTCATATTTTGTACATGTGAAACCTTTCAAATGTGTACAAAAATTGTATTATGAAAAAGACTGCCACTATAAGGCTGACACAAACATACTACTAATAACTAAATCCACTTTCTTACCTGTTATTCAACAAGTTTCAAGTTATTCTGTCATCATA